CAACCTCCAACTCCTGGGCTCAAGTGAGTCTCCTGCCTCAGCCTCCCAAGTAGCTGGGACCACAGGCGCCCGCCACAACGCCTGGCTATTTTTTTTTGGTTGCAGCCATCATTGTTGTTTGGCGGGCCCGGGCTGGATTTGAACCCGCCACCTTAGATGTTAGGATTATTGATCAATGTGGTGTACGTGACTAGCTCCCAATAAAGGGGAGTGGAAAATAAAGACATTTTGCTACATGCCACCTAAGAGTGTGTAGTCGTGTCTTGCATTTAAACAATTCTAGGAGTGAGCTTGCACCCGCGGCCAAGCTGTCCTTCTCTCCCCGCGAGAAAGAACGTCACCTAACAGTAAACAGTTAAAAAAATTCACAGGATGTAAGTGTAAATTAACAGTCGCTTTTCACACCTTCCCTAATAATGAGCATCAATCTCACTTCCTCCTTCAAAAGTTGGTAGTTTAGCCTATGGTTCATCCTGTAAGGGTACATGTGAATCTCTCTAAATGTAGAATATAAATGTCCTAACACAATAACTAAGGAAAAGACATGAAGGCTAGGTTAACCAGTTGGATGAAAGTATTTCAAACTGTATATAGAAACAGCACACTGTACCCCATCATAGTATTAATGTACACTGCTCTGATTTAATTAAAAAAAAAAGTTGGTAGTTTAAGTGCCTTTTCTGGAGACCTTTCCTGCAATCTGTACAAGTGCAGGATGCTGAATAGGAGGACATGCAATTACAATCACTTTTTTCTACTTTTAGTGTGGGCCCTCCCACCTACAAGTCTGCCCAATTGTAAATTAAGGATTTAGAACTAGAATAGAAAATGGGTTGGTTTTTTAACAGCGGCGTGTATTCCTATTAACAATATAAAGGCAACATTTTCCCTCATATAGTCACCAAATATAGCACAGGTAATTCTCAAGATTATGAATATCCAACTTATGGGGTTGGTGATAAACTACCAGAACTCTGACGTTTTTAGGGCATGTCCCTCACCTCTGCCAGGAGGCTGCACCATTGTTAACTGAAAACCATCAATGATACACTGTTTTTCATACAATTCCCTGGCTCATTAATCACCTATTCATACAACCTTGCATGCCCTTATTATTGCATGACTTTGTATTATTATACAAAGAATGAAGATGGTGTCTAGAGCCAGAGAGATATTTTTCATGGTTTAGGAGGATGCTGAAAGGATCCCGATGGAGTAAAAGATGGATTAAGTGGGTACCTTGTTTCTCAGGGATGGGTCCGCCCCTGCTTCCAGGAGCAATGCAACTGTTTTAATATTTCCACTGAGCACAGCCGCGTGGAGTGCCGATGTCCCATTCTAAGAGAAATGACAGTGTGTGTCAGAAGGGAGTTGATGGTCACTAGCACTTTGCTGGGTTTTCATCATACACCAAGTGTAACATAGAACCTTACTCTTCCTTATCATGCCTCATACATCTCAAAGTCACACGAACACCTATATGGTGTCCTCGTGTATGTATAAATATTGCTAATGTTTTTTCACAAGCGAAACAAGGAATCTGGTCCAGGGGGCACATGACTTCATGGTCACTCAGTCAGTTTTATATTCTTTAGAATCTGCTGCAGAAAAAACAGCAATGCTGTGCCAAACATTTTTGTTCTTTGAAAACAACACACAAGGGTATACAGCCCAACCTTGGGTGAAGGGCTCAACTACAACTTGAACTTTGCCTTAGAAACTCAAACAATGTAACTTAATCATTTGTACCCTTATATTAGCCTGAAATAATAATAAAAAAAGAAAAACACATACAGTCTTTTTACTTTGGTGAGCCACTTCCATCAAGGTGGGCGGAATCCTAGCTCTGCCAGCCTAGGATGGCAGGAGAGTGAGACTGGAGTCCCGGGGCTTAAGGGGAAGAGGAGTATGTGGGATGAGGCAGCGCCCCTGAGCTGAGCTGGAGCATCCTGAACACAGAAGGTCCTTGTAGATGGGCTTCTAAAGTTTTATGAAATTACTGCAAATACTTATTGAAATAAGGAAGTAGCTACACGTGGCCAATAGCTGGATCATGGAGGGAGGGGAAAACTGCCCAACTAATATAAGAACAATGGGCAGTTACATGATAACGGTTCCAGAAGGTATATATGCCTACAAACAATACCTAAATGTAAACTTAGTTTTCTAATTAATTAGTCATAATAAAAATCACTTTTCTTTTGTAAAAGAGTAAAATATCATACTTAGAGAAAAATGCCAGCCAGGCAGCTTTTTTCTATGGTTGCTTCTATTATACATATATATGTATATATATATATACACACATATATATATGTATATATGATCACTGATGCATCTGTCAACAGTACACCTGTCAACTTCACCTATTTGAAACATGGCTAAAACAAACAAACTAAGCCAAAAGAGAACCATCTGAAACAAAGACTAGATTTTGCAAAGTCCTTTTCCAAAGTTTCTTCCTTTTGTTCATGGAATTCACCTTCATAGATGGTTTATTCTTACTTTACAAACAATTTCAACAAATGCAGCTTTCTGGCTTCCAAACTCAGGGGAGATTAGGGCAGGAGAGAGGGATGAACACACTGACAACACCACTTCCCTATCAGCTGACAGCAAGAGTGGAGTCTAAACTCCACAGTGTCCACAAAGCTTCTGGGGTCACTCAAGGCCAAGTATATTTTGGGCACATTGATAAACTCTGAGGGCACAGCCCCTAAACTGCTAAGCCACCATGTCCACTTATAATAGATTTGATGTCTTTATATTTTAGGGGTCAGCAAACTATGACCTGTGGGCCAAATCCCGCCTGCCACCTGTTTTTGTAAGTCTTGTAAGCTAAGAATTTTCTTTCCATTTTAAAATGATTTTTAAAAGATTACAGTAAGGACACTATTTTGAAACGTGCAAAAATATGAAATTATATAATATAAATACACGTCCCTAAGTAAAATTTTCTAAGAATGTAGCCACATTCTTTTTTTTTTTTTTTTTTTTGCCTTTTATGTGGCTGCTTTCCTGCTACCATGGCAGAGTTGAGCAGTTGGAGAGTCGTAAAGCTCACAAAACCTAAAATATTTAGTCCCATTCTTGGCGGAAAACGTTTGCTGAACCCTAGTACATCCTATAGGTTATAAATAATTTAATCCAAAATAATTAAAACTTAAAAAAGAGTTTTGGGGCTCTGTTTTCTAGGAGACACAGGTCTCCAGATTGACATATTTTTTTGAAGCTTCCAGGTGGTTCAGGCTTATTTTATTTCACTGTGGGTAACAAAACAGAGTGGTTCTTTGCTCAGGATAATGAAGAGAAGGAATGTAAGTGTCTGATCTTCCTTCATTGCACAGATCTTCCAAGTGATATCAATATGATCATTTGTATTCCATTATCTATAGATACTGTTACAACATGAAAATATATTGTGTAGTAATAAAGAATTTCATCAACAGCAAAAAAACAGTATCAATGTGGTTTACTGTACAGTTTGATAACTTAATTACTACTGTCTATTTTTTTTTAATGGAAAACAAGGTAGTAATGGGCTTTAGTTTATTTCTTATAACCTTCCCATTTCTGCCAATGCCCAGCTTTAAGAAACTGTAGATGTGTTTTTTCATAAATACAACTAACCAGGCTAATTATACCCAAATTCTACTGCAGTCTGCAAGTATGGATTCCTTATCTTTTAACTTCTCTCTCTCTCTTTTTTTTTTTTTTTTTTGAGACAGCATCTCACTTTGTTATCCTCCGTAGAATGCCGTGGCATCATAGCTCACAGCAATCTCAAACTCTTGGGCTCAAGTGATCCTCTTGCCTCAGCCTCCCAAGTAGCTGGGACTACAGGTGCCTGCCACAACACCCAGCTATTTTTAGAGATGGGGTCTCGCTCTTGCTCAGGCTTGTCTGGAACTCCTGAGCTCAGGCAATCCACTTGCTTCGGCCTCCCAGAGTGGTAGGATTACAGGCGTGAGCCATGGCACCTGGCCTTAACTTCTCTGTTTTATAGATTGGTAAAATGTCTCTTTAGGTCTTACCTTCAAAATACCAAGAGAGGGCGAGAATTTAAGCAACTCCTCTATAACATCATTATACCCTTCATTGGCTGCTTTCAATAGTGCTGTTGTGCCATCCTTAACAAAAGGAGGGAAATAAAAGTTGATTGTTAACATATGTCTGCGTTGGCTGAGAACTAAATGTCAGTTGAGAACTGGGAGTATGATCACCAGAAACAGGCAAAATTGTGTAAATGAAACAGATCAGCAGCATCGCTTAATCTAGGGACTTGTTAGAGCATATTAATTCTTCAAGAAAGAAGATCAGACCAAATATGTGACTGTTTCTATTATCTTAGAACCCTGACATTTGGGAATTCATACTCCTCCAGTCCTTTTAAATGCTGAGGAAGGGAGAAAGAGAATTTCAAGAACCTATTTTTAGGTCACTGACAGACCAAAGGGGCATTCTCTGCTGCTATAACTTAGCAGAAATTGTTTAGCTGTTTTAATGATTTAAATTATTGTTGAACTGTATTTACTGTTGCAAAAATTTATACTACCTGTCCTAGACTGTTCTAGGTATCCATTTACCTGTATGTGTGGGAGGGGAGATCACTGAAAACCACTATAAAAGGTCTAAAAGACAAATCCTCAAATTATAATATTCAGCTTTTGTCATTATGTTTTGGTTTAAAAAGAGATTTTCCAAATTCCTTTTCTCCCCTTCCTTCATAGAGACCAGGGTCTCACTCTGTCACCCAGGCTGGAGTTCAGGAGATGGAATCATGGCTCACCATAGCCTAGAACTCCTGAACTCAAAGCATCCCCTCCACACTGGCCTTCCCAGACTGGGGTTACAGGTGTGAGCTACCACTGGGCCAGGCCTCAAATTCACTTCTTATCCCGCTTTAACTATCAATGCTGTGTTTGGGGGATTTAGCTCACAGAGTTCACAATAGGCAAGGGACTATCTCAGCCTGCCACCAGGGCTCATCTCACATCCGGAAGAGGAAAGACGGGATTAGTTAGGGTGACCAGATTCTCACATTTGTAAAGTGGGACAACATGACCAGAGGGCGGGGCGGGGGCGGGGCAGGGCAGGACCTGACAACAATGCAAACTTGGATAAGCAGTTCTCGATAATGACTTCTCAACAATTATTTGTTATTATTACAGTTTAACATTATAAAATTAACAAAAATAATATAAAACTCATATTCTGGCGTAACCGCCACATGGCAGCCGAAAACCGTATATTCCCTTCCTGTTCTCCCGCCCGTTCGTGCATTCTTTCCAAAAATCGGGACTTTTTAAAAACGCAGCGGGACGCGGGACAAATTGTTGAAAAATGGGACTGTCCCGCCAAAAGCAGGACGTCTGGTCACCCTAGGATTAGTGGATTTTTGTTTTCTAGGGTCAGAGATTATGGGAAGAAGAAAAAGTAGGATGGCAAAGAAGTGGTCAGGAATGTGTCCTCCGATTTCCCTTTTTAGGATTTAGAGTTGGAGAGGGGAAGGTGAGGCCTATAAGCAAGGGCAAAGAGGCCATACACAGTAAAACACAAAACGCAAGCAGCACAGTGGGGCCAGGCTCTCCCTGAGCCACCCTTAGTTCCTGTGGGGCGAGAGCCTGGTGTGGGGCTCGCGGAGCAGGAGTTAGGCGACACTAATAGAGGTGGAGACCGCGCCAGCGGGGGCATCGCTAGGCCGCAGACCGCAGGCCCCTCATCACCCCCCTGCACTGTGGCCAGGGGCCAGCAGGAGGCGCAGCACCACGGAGGGGACAGTCCCTCATCTCAGGCCCACCTCCACCCGACAACCTGCGCCGGGTCTCCGGCTGCCCACGGTACCCCCGCCCCCGGCCCAGGCTGACTCCGCCCTCTCAGTTCGCCCAGAAGTCCGCAGTGGGGGAGGAGAGAGACTGCGGCAGCTGCGAATGTGACCTTGACTTTGTTGTTCTGCTAAACGGCAGGTAGAGGCTGGGAAGAAACCCAGTTGTAGGCTGCAGACACCGGTGTGCCCCGCACACGGAGAAACCGCGGCCCCCGGGGCACTCACCTTCCGCGCGGCGTCGCGCTCGGCCCCGCGCAGCAGCATCACCCGCACCGCCTCGCTGTGGCCCATCTGGGACGCGATCCACAGGGGCGCCGTCCCGTCCTGCGGGGAGAGCGGGCCACCCGTCACAGAACGTCTTAGCACAAAGTGAAAACCCTGGGAATGAGCCCCCAGACCACAGGTGGCACTTGCCAGCTGAGTCTCACATCCAGGAGGACCTGGAGAGGAGAGTGTTCTTAACCCACGAACACAGACTGGCATCTGGCAGGGCCTGGACTGCTTGAGTAATTGCCAAAATTGAACTGCTGGCTTATAAAACCAGCCTCTTTAGGGCCGGATCTTTTACTAAAAAGTGTGGTACAGACCACATTAGGCTCAGGGGAGCAGTGGAGTCGGGCACTGCACAGCAGGACCAAATCTCAAAAACCCAGAGAGAAGCCAGCCTATCCACCACTGCCCCTTCAACCTCTTTGCTTTCCCAGGGGATCGCACTCACCTTAAAGTTCACCCTTTAAACTTTGCTTACTGGGGATGCCTCATTCCCATAGAAAAATGGGCAGTTTCCTTAGAAATGGGGTCTGTGGGTCAGAGAACTCAAGACATTTCTCCTACTCATAGCTACCTCACTTTTTAGGGAGCTTAGATTAATTTTATGTGGAATGCGTTCTTTCATCTTCTAGGAAGTGATAACACATTAACTAGTTACAGCAGGACATCTTTGGGAATATTTCCTGTACATTATTACGGAACATCCTTTCCCCCCTAAACACTAGGCAGTGAAATATGCAAGGCACAGAGGAGGATGTGACACAGTAGTGGTTCCTGCCAGGAGTGGAAACTGGGAAAGCCTTCCAGTGCAGGAAGGAGCTGGGCAGGGAGGGGACAGGCAGTCAGATGTGAGAATTTGTCTCCCCTCTGCTCCCCTTTGCAGTCTACTTGAGTCTTGGGGGCTGTAAGGGAAGGAGGAGTAAGCTGGGGGTAGTAGAAATACCTAGATAAGTTATGGGTAATTCCAGATAGGGAAGGATTTTCCCCTTTTCCAGGGATGAACTACTCCAGGAAAACTGCAAGCCCCCAGAGAAACTCTGCCTAAAAGACAGAAGAGAAAATGGCCTGACATATCCCCCAGTCCTCATGGCCCACATCCCGAGCAAGGATCCTGGTAGGACCAGCACTGTGGTGGGACCAGCTGCATCCCTGGGATATCACTGTGGGACACTTGGACACTAGAAAGCCAGCACGAGGGCCAGGCATGCATCTCCCTACCCCCACCCTGATGCCAGGGTGACCGCAGAACTCTAAGAACTTAGGTCACTTTGGAGAGAAGTCCAGGAGGGAGTAGGATTCAGAAGTGGCTAAACTTAACCTCTGAGATAGTTACAGTAATACCGCCACAAGACACTCTTTTAGACAGGTAAGACTGAATTACTCACAAAACAGGGGCTGGGGAGCAAAATGTTCCAGTTATGGAATATAAAGTTACATTTTCTGCTGTAGTATGCAATTTCAACCCCAGCCAACTAGCTGAAGCAGGCCCAGGATTATTGCCCATTGCCATTCTGAGAAAGGGTCAGAGGACAAAACAGCAGAGTGGGGTGAAAGAAGACGGCACTTCAGCAGCCCAGGGGGATCTGGAGGCTCTGAGGGGTGGTCAGAAGGCTGGAGACACTTTGCCCTACCTCATTCTTTTTCTTAAAATATTCTTGAATTTGAATATTACTTACCATTAGCAATTATCATTAGCAACGATAATACCTTAATTTGTACTTTTTGCTATATTGTGAATTTTAAAAAAATATTATCAATTTTTAACAGCAATGATCATACTCATTAGTTGGAATAGTCATGGCAGGTGTAAAAAGCAATCTCCACTTCCTGGCTGTAAGACCTGAGGCAAACCACTCTCAGGCTCAGGGTCTGCTTTTACAAAAATGTTAGCTTCACAGAGATATTACTAAATGACAAAACACACAGAGAGCTGGGAAGCATGAGGACTGACTAATAGACGCCTGGAAAATGTTAACTGAATCTGAGTATTTATTATGGAAAGTGATGTCTCTTAATTTGTATTCTTGCTGATGAAACATTTCCATATTTATTTAATCTGATTCCCCCAGTGACCCTGGGAGATAAATGATTTGAGCAGGCAGGAAGGATTGGGGAAATGAGATTTGGGGCTGCCTGTGTATTTCTTTACTGATTACTTTTTCGAATCTGATTTTTGAACCCGGAGAGTTGCATGTTGAGTTACAGCATTGTTTCCAAATCAAATTATTTATCGGTTGATTATCTAATTTATGGATTAGGAGAGATTTCTCCCTTCTGTATACCTTAATATCCTCAATTTCTGTTTTCTCTTATTTTTTTTCTGCTAGTATAATGGTCAGAGACTTCATTTTCATAATGAAAATGATGGAAATTAAGTTCATTTAGCCCCCTTAGAAAAAAATCAAAATGGAAAAAAATGTTTAAATGTTTTTGAATACTTGACAAAAAATATACAGTTTTTAATATATTAGATATGTAAAAAATATGTCAAATAAAATAAATCACCATGAAGTTGCAATCTCTATGGCACTTTTTTTTTTTAAAATAGTCTTACTTTGTCACCCTTGGTAGAGTGCCATGGCATCATAGCTCACAGCAACCTCAAGCAATTCTTTTGAGCTCAAGCAATTCTCTTGCCTCAGTCTCCTGAGTAGCTGAGATTATAGGTGCTTGCCACAACATCTGGCTATTTTTTAGAACTCTTGCTCACGCTGGTCTCGAACTCCTGAGCTTAAGCAATCCACCCTCCTTGGCCTCCCAGAGTGCTAGGATTACAGGCATGAGCTGTCTCACCCAGCTGTGGCACTTTTTTTTTTGAGACAGAGCCTCAAGCTATCCCCCTGGGTAGAGTGCCGTGGCTTCACAGCTCACAGCAACCTCCAACTCCTGGGCGCAAGTGAATCTCCTGCCTCAGCCTCCCAAGTAGCTGGGACCACAGGTGCCTGCCACAACGCCTGG